TTATTTCTGTGTTATAAAGTCTGAAACTGAGGGAGAGAGAAGGGGGGAGAGAGGGAGGGAGGGGAGAGGTAGAGAGAGAGGGAGAGGAGAGAGAGAGAGGGGAGAGGAAGAAGAGAGAGAGAGGGGGAGAAAAATGGAAAAGAGAAATAGAGTGGGAAAGAGAGAGATAGAGAGAGATAAAAAGAAGGAGTGAGAGAGACAAGGAAGGGGAGGGAGAGGGAGGGAAAAAAAGAAAGAGAGAGAGAGAAAGAGAAACAAAAAGAGAGGAGAGAAGAGAGAGAGAGGAGAGAGAGGAGGAGAGAGAGAGAGAGAGAAGAGAGAGAGAGAGAGAGAGAGAGAGGAGAGAGGAGAGAGAGAGGAGAAGAGAGAGAGGAGAGGGGGGGAGAGAGAGAGAGAGAGAGAGAGAGAGAGAGAGAGAGAGAGAGAGAGAGAGAGAGAGAGAGAGAGAGAGAGAGAGGAGGAGAAGAGAGAGAAAGAGAAAGAGGGGAAGAGCGATCAGGAAGGAGGGAGATCCCCCAGGCGGGCGAACAGTCGTTTTATGTCGAAGAGAGAAGAAGGGAAAAAAAAACTTTTTAATTGCATCGGAACTTCTTTGTATTTCGCAGAGTCGCTATTGGATTCCCTAACTGGTTCTGAGAGCCTGAGAACAGACGATAAAACAACTTTATATTCAAAGTTTACCGCTGTGGCCGGGAGGGAAGGAGGGAAGCTGGGAGGAGGGAAGTTGGGAGGAGGGGAGGAGGAGGGAGGGAAGGAAGGAAGGAAGAGGGATGGACGCGTGTTTGTGTGTGTGTGTGTGTGTGTGGTGTGTGTTGTGTGTGTGTGTGTGTGTGTGTGTGTGTGTGTGTGTGTGGGTGTGTGTGGCATGGAGAGAGCCCGGAGCGTTTCACTGTTAGCTTATGGTATGCCGTTTCCTTGACTGTGTGTATGTATGTGTGTGTGTGCGTGTGTGTGTATCTGTATCGCACATTCTCTTTATCAATATATTTCATCATTTTCTTTTGGTGAGGTCCTATGTCCCATACTCTCTCTCTCTCTCTCTCTCTCTCTCTCTCTCTCTCTCTCTCTCTCTCTCTCTCTCTCTCTCTCTCTGCTCTCTCTCTCCTCTCTCTCTCTCCCTCCCTCTCCCCTTTCTCTCCCTTCTCTCGCCCTCCCTTCCCTTCTCTCCCTTCTCTCTCCCTCCCCTCCCTTCTCTCCTTTCTCTCTCCCTCCTCTCTCTCTCTCTCTCTTCTCTATCTATCTATCTGCTCTCGTCTTCTCTTTCTCTCCCTTTCTCTCTTCCTTCTCTCCCTTCTTCTCTCCTCTTCTCTCTCTTCTCTCTCTCTCTCTCTCTCTCTCTCTCTTCTCTCTCTCTCTCTCTTCTCTCTCTCCTCTCTACTCTCTCTTTCTCTCTCTCTCAACGAAATACGTGGGTTAATTGGATGACTTTTTTCTAAATTGAAATTCTTGATAATGTGCGTGTTCGATTGATCATTCGTGTAATTATTGTTTTAGAATTTGCATATTTAAAAAATAGTGCCCATTGTTATTTTTGGTGTTACTACTTTCGTCATCATCGTCATCGCCATCGTCGTCATGAGCATCACCATTATCATCATCATCATCACATCGATCATCACCATCATCACCATCATCACCATCATCATTATCACACCATTCATTATCATTTCATTTATCAACACATCATCATATCACAATCGTTCATCATCATTATCATCATCACCCTAATCACCATCATCACCACAACCACGAGCATCACCATCTACAAGCACCGATTACTTCCCCATCAAACACGAACGAAACAAAAAAAAGAAAGAAAAAAAAAAGAGAAAGAAAAACTACAATACACATCACCGTCAAATCACACGTCAGATGTCACGTGTCAAGCCGTCAGCTGTCGTCATGAATCGCGGTCAAAACGAGGCCACTTGACCTGCTTTGACCTCGTTAAGCAGACTTGTTTCCAGCGGCGGCGGGTTAATCTCCTCTTTTCGGCCTCCTCTCAGACGGAGAAGGAGGGGGAGGAGGGGAAGGAAGACAGGAGGAGGAGGAGGAGGTGGAGGAGGAGGAGGAGTGGGGAGAGAGAAGTGGAGGATGAAAGGGGCTGGAGGAAGACAGGAGGAGGTGGTGGAGGAGGAGGAGTGGGGGAGAGGAGGAGGAGGTGGTGGAGGGGAAGAAGGATGGTAGAGGGGAGGAGGTAGAGAGGAGGAGGAGGAGAGGTGGAAGGGGGATGGAAGAGGAGGAGGAGGGAGAGAGGTATGTGAGAAGAGGAGGAGGAGAAAAGGAAGGGGAGGGGGAGAGAAGGAGGAGAAAGGGAAGAGAAGGTGGAGGGGAGGAGGAAGGAAGAGGGAAGGAGGGTAGTGAGAGAAGGAGAGTAGAAGAGGGCAGAGGAGTTGGGGAGAAAGAGAAGAAGAGGACGAAGAAGAAAGCGAAAAAAGGAGAATGATAATAAGAAAGGAAGACGATAACGCATGAGAAAAGAAGGAGGAGGGAGAAGAGAAGAGACACAGAAGAGAGGACGGAGATGTGAAGAGGAGGAGAGAACAAGAAGGAAGAAACGTAAGAAAGGAAAGGAAGATAAAGAACAAAGAGAAGAGGAAGAGCAAGAGGTCTTTCCGCTTCCCATCCGCTTCTCTCGGGTCTTTCCTCCCTCCTCTTCCTCCCTCCCTTCCCTCCTGCCTCTCCCCCCCCTCCCTCCCTCCTCCCCTTCTCCCTTTCTCCCTTTTCCCTTCCTTCTCCCTCTTCTCTCCCTCCCCCACCACCCACTCCCCTGCTCCCTCCCTCCCCACACCCACCATCTCTCCCTCCCCTCCTCCCACTACACCAACACCACCTCCCCTTCCTCTCCCCCTTCCTCTCCATCCCTCACCCCTCACCCCTCACCCCTCCCTCCCCTCCTCTTCCTAGCACTCCGCAGTTCACAAGAAATTAAGCCTTTTTATCCGACCATCAAAAGGAGGGTCCGGCGAGCCCCCCCCCCCCTCCCCCCCCTTGCTCTCTCTTTTTTCTGTCCCTTTCTTCTTCCTCTTGTATTAACTCCAATTAGGGCAAAGAAGAAACACGGAAGATAGGCAGCTGCGGGGGTGGTTAGAGACTGCGAGAGGGAGATAGGAGACGGGCGGGGGTGGAGACAGGTTAGATGGAGGCGAGAAGAGGGAGGGAGGGAAGAGGAAGGAAGTGGGGCTCGGCATTGAAGAAGATGGAGAGAGAGGACGTAGGGAGGGGAAGACGGACGAGGGGAGAGGATGGGAGGGGGAGGGAGAGGGAGGGAAGGGAGGAGGGACGGGAGGGAGGGGGAGGGAGGGAGGGAGGGAGGGAGGGAGGGGGTAGGAGGGTTAGAGGAGGAGGGAGGAGGGGAGGAGGAGGGAGGGGAGGAGGAGAAGGAAGAGAAGAAGAGAAGAGAAGGAAGAAAGAAGAAGGGACAGACGGACGTGTATGTGCGGGCGTGTGTGCGTGGGTGTATACTTGCATGTATAATTATAAATTATGTTTACATAAGTGAGTGAGACTTGTGTGTGTACATAAGCGGAAATTGTATGTGGATAGTTGTCCACGTGTCATTAGGCTGCACAGTCGGAAATGGCGAGTTTATATTGAGTGCGAGGACGAAAAACTGATGTCTCTCGTCTTTTGAATCTTATTCCATTGCGCGAATCACCTTAAAAAGAAAGAGAGAAACTATTGGAAATTTCCGTGTTCAGCAGAGCGCGGGTATTGCTCTGCTTCCGATGCAAATGACTTCGACTTTTTTTTATTGGTTATGAAGGGGAATACGAGCGTAAGAATTAGACGGATTCGCCAGTGCCATTCGGTGATATGTAACCTACTTTTGTTCTTCCTGGATGATAATAAAAGAAGACAAAGATGAAGATAGAATAGTAGGAAAGTAATACGTTCATCACCAATTCAGTTGAAGCTACCTTTTTTTTTCTTCTTTTTTTTTGTCCATGGGGTCACGTGGTTAAAAGAAATTACTATTATTGGTTTTCCTTTATTTTTCCTTTTCTGTTTTTTCTCTTTTTTCCCCGTTTAGTGACTCGTTGTTGTAATTTAACCTGCGCCTGTCATGTTCCCCTTGCAGAATATGTAATGCAATTAAGGATTGTAACTTTTCTCTTCCTCTCTCCTCTCTCTCTTCTCTCTCTCTCTCTCTCCTCTTCTCTCTCTCTCTCCTCTCTCTCTCTCTCTCCTCTCCTTTTTCTCTTTCTCTTCTCTCTCTTTCTCTCTCCTCTCTTCTTCCTCTCTCTTCTCTCTCTCTCTCTTCTCTCTCTTCTCTCTCTCTCTCTCTCTCTCTCTCTCTCTCTCTCTCTCTCCTCTCTTCTCTCTCTCTCTTCTCTCCCGCGCAGTCTCGTCGAGTTATAATTAATGTGTGTAATTGAAACTCGTTGGAGTTGATTATGAATTGGAATTTCTTTTTTTTTTTGTGGAGAGAAAGGAAAAAAAAAAAAAAGAAAAAAGTAAAAAAGTAATTGCATGTGCATAGAATAGATAGATAGAGGAAAAGGGTGGGAGG